CTGTACTCCCGCTGCCGCCTGAACCTCAGGCTCTGGTACAAGAACGCCTACGGCGACTACGAGATGAACGGTGAGTGAGAGCACTGGGCTGGGGCTGGGGCTGGGCTGGACTGGGGTGTATTTAGCTGGGCTGGGGCTGGGGCTGGGCTGGACTGGGGTGTATTTAGCTGGGCTGGGACTGGGGCTGGGCTGGACTGGGGTGTATTTAGCTGGGCTGGGCTGGACTGGGGTGTATTTAGCTGGACTGGGGCTGAGCTAGACTGGACTGGACTGGGTTGTATTTAGCTGGACTGGGGCTGAGCTAGACTGGACTGGACTGGGTTGTATTTAGCTGGGCTGGATTGGGGTGAGCTAGACTGGACTGGACTGGGCCGTATTTAGCTTGGCTTGGCTTAGCTGGACTGGGCTGGGCTGCATTTCATATATCTGAGAGTCAAATTTCAGAGTCAAAGACCAAATGCAATGGAGAACATTTTAAGGAGTAGCTGGTAAGATCCTTCTTCTATGCTGTGTTTTTATCATTGCCAACATATGTGCTGCAGATTGCATATTTACTCATTTGGAGGTATGAGGGTTCACGACCCGTGGCGTGTTTTGTTTGCCATGTCACTGGAAGTTGTCATATGTGCACACACGTACTGTCCATGTATAGAAGAAGACATCTGTTCACACCTACAGGACGGGCTCTTAACTTTCCTCTGACTTTCCAGACGGGAAGCTGTATGATGCCTATGTCTCCTACGTGAACAATGAGCACGACCGGAAGTTTGTGAACTTCATCCTGAAGCCACACCTGGAGAACAGGTACAGCTACAAGCTGCACCTGCACGACGGAGACATTCTGCCCGGCTCAGGTAACTGCGGGCCGCCCCAACCTTGACCCTTGACCCCTGATCTCAGGCGTGCTGTAGCTGGTGCTCTGACACGCCCCCTCTCCCTTCCCCATCCCAGAGCCCTCTGCGGAGCTGCTGATGAACGTTAGTCGGTGCCGGCGCCTGATCGTGGTCCTGTCCAGGGCCTACCTGGAGCAGGAGTGGTGCACCAACAGCTTCAGGTGAGCGCAGGCAGGAAATTCAACACGGTTACATAGTGTGCACAAGGAATAGTCCCCATGTTCTTGAATACTTCAGAAGTGCTTGTTTACAGCTTTGATATAGCTTCTGTTTTATAGTACAGAAGTGTATTAGCGCCATGGAGAAAAAAATATCTTTTGTGTTTATACAAGGTAATATTGCATTAAAACGCAGTAATTAATTTGTGAACAATGCTGTTATTCTTCATGGAATACATTTGAATTTACAAGTATACAGCAAAATGCGGGACAGGTGTCATTTGAAAGGAGAAGGAACACTGTTTGTGTGTCTGTTTGCACAGACATGGATGTAAAGTGAAGGAGGAATACTGAACAAAAAGAAAAACAATTCTAGGAAGAGACACAACACACAGTTGTTGGCTTGCTGTGTACTGTGATCAACAATAACAGTAACATTGAGTCAACAGTAGGTATATAAGGTATAATGTACACCATATATGTTTTCCGCTCAGTGTTTAAAGAGTAGGCAAGAACCTAGGTACAGTACATGTTTCTGCAGTTTCACATCAAGAATAACAAACTTTTGGGGAGGCGGGTCATTTCTGCTTTTCACAGTCACTGCGAAAATGACGCGTGTGTGATCCAGGAAAGCTCAATCGCAGGGTGTTCCACTGCATGGACATGAAGGACAGTACACAAGCACTTTCAGATTCATTCTTCTGTCGTTGAAGTCAGTGCTAGTTTGTCTGGGACAACATTATTGCAGATCTATTACAAGATATTCATATAGTTTGCAATAATGTGCACGAATTAAATCATTGCATTTTAAAGCAAAGTAATCTCGTATGGACGCCAAAGGTTTGTCTTTTAAACGCCATACTTTTAAATACTAAACAATAAGCTTCTGTACTTGAGGTCTTTGCAAATTGGTCCGACAGGCCGCTGATGCAGTCCACTAAGGCAGTAGAAATCCCAGGCGAAGGATGTATTGGTAGTTAATGTACAAGATCGGAAAAGTAAGTACAGCTTCACAGGGGAAGATTCCCAAAGTCCTTCGGGCACAGGATGTGTGCAGAATGAGCAGGGAAATACAAAGTAGGGGTCACCAGTGGAAACAGGAGGCCCGCGTTTGCACAAAGAGTGGTGGGTGTCTGGCGCAAGCTGCCATTGCCCTGTGGTTGAAGCCGAGGTCTTGTGACTGGACCCCCTGCTCTCCTCCTCTCTCCGTCGCCCCAGGGAGGGACTCTGGCGCCTGCAGGAGCTGTGCCGGCGGCCCGTCTTCATCGTGTTCGAGAGCCAGCGCAGGCAGCTGAGCCCGCCCGCGCTGCGGCTGCTGAAGGAGAGCGGGCGCAGCGTGGCCCTCCTGCTCTGGGGCTCCAAGTCCATGGTGAGAGCCCGGGGCCGCTGGGGGGCGCGAGTCCAGATCCGCGTTTTCACAAAGCCGAGATCCATAGCTGAGGTCAAGTGAGAGTGACTAACTCTCCTTCTTAACACTCTCTACCTTTTACTTGATCTTTCTTCTTGTAAAAGAAGGCTTTGGCTAGATATAGGGGGGAACATGTTTATATATGTACATTGAACGTTATACATGGGAATTGTTTTCGAAAAAATGACAGCAGTGCTCGTGTGTTTCCCTATACCTGTCTGTTTGAGCGCCCTCTTCAGGTGGCTGGCGGTAAGTGTGGTTCTGAGGTTTCGGCCTTTTCTTCCTCATCTCCCCCAACCCCCCCTCAGACCCCGTCCTCCCAGTTTTGGAAGAGCCTGGTCCTGGAGATGCCCCGCAAGCTGATGTACCACCACAACACAGGGGACCCCCAGACTCTGCTCCAGGATGACAAGGACCCCATGCTGACCCTGAACCCCGACTATCTGGACTGCCGCCCCGACCCCGACCCTGCTGGAGACCTGGGTGAGCTGGGGGTGTAGCCTGTGACCCCAGATCTGACTGGGACCCCGACAGCAGATGTGCAGAGGCTCTGCTGTCTGGGTCTGGGTCTGGGCTGGACTAGAGATTGTATCGGCACAGCGCCTCTGCTGTCTGGGTCTGGGTCTGGGTCTGGGCTGGACTAGAGATTGTATCAGCACAGCGCCTCTGCTGTCTGGGTCTGGGTCTGGGCTGGACTAGAGATTGTATC